TTTGCACCTGTGGATACTGAAACTGTCAAAAAGATAATCATGAGTCTGAGCTCCTCCACATGTAGCCTGGATATATTGCCCTCTAAATTTCTGAAGTCCGTCCTGAGCAGTTTGTTACCTTCACTGACACAAATAGTAAACATGTCTCTGTCGTCAGGAACATTTCCTATGGCCCTAAAAACAGAAGTCATAAGACCTCTCCTAAAAAAGAGCAGTCTGGATCCTGCGGGACTTCAAAATTATCGCCCCATATCGAATCTGCCGTTTATTGGAAAAATTCTTGAAAAAGTGGCCTCCCAACAACTTACTGAATTTTTAACAATGAATAATTCTTTTGATATGTTCCAGTCTGGGTTTAGACCCCACCACAGCACTGAGACCGCTCTAGTGAAGGTAACAAACGACATTCGACTTCACACTGATGCAGGTAAAGTCACAGTTTTGGTCATGTTAGATCTTAGTGCCGCGTTCGACACTGTCGACCATGAGATCCTCATGCAGAGACTGGAGGACTGGGCTGGTGTCACTGGCACAGCCCTAGACTGGTTTAGGTCTTACCTGGAGGATAGGAAGTACTCTGTGGAGATTGGAGACTGCGTCTCAGATGATGTGGCCCTGACCTGTGGTGTACCACAGGGGTCGATCCTGGGACCTCTCCTATTTAATCTCTACATGCTGCCGTTAGGTCAGTTAATACAAAGAAACAAAGTGTCCTACCACAATTACGCTGACGACACTCAGATCTATGTCTCACTGACTGCAGGAGAACATGGACCACTGGATTTGCTCCTTCACTGTATCCAACAGATCAGTGACTGGATGCAAAATAATTTCCTCCAGCTAAATACAGACAAAACCGAAATCATTGTCTTTGGTCCCCAGAAACAAAGAGAGGGCGTCATTTGTCAACTTCAGTCTCTCTCTCTACTTCCTTCAGACAAGGTCAGAAATTTGGGGGTAATACTGGACTCAGACCTAAATTTCAATAGCCACATAAAATCAATAACATCAACAGCTTTTTACCATCTGAAGAACATTGCCAAAGTTAGAAATATAGTGTCCAGGGCAGACTTGGAGATTCTTGTCCATGCATTTGTCTCCAGCAGGCTAGACTACTGCAATGGCCTGCTTACAGGTCTGTCCAAACAGACCTGTAAGCAGCTGCAGTACATCCAAAATGCAGCAGCTAGAGTCCTGACAGGAACCAGGAAGTATGACCATATTAGTCCGGTCCTCAGGTCTCTGCACTGGCTTCCTGTGGCTCAAAGAATAGATTTTAAAACGGCTCTGCTTGTGTACAAGTCTCTCCATGGCCTTGCACCAGAATACATTAGTGACATGTTGGTGTCATATGAACCAGCCCGGACTCTGAGGAGCACAGGGACTGGCCTCCTGCTGGTGCCCAGAGTGAGAACCAAACATGGGGAGGCTGCGTTTCAGATCCATGCAGCTAAGATCTGGAACAATCTCCCTGAAAATGTGAGGGAGGCGTCTACTCTGTCAATGTTCAAATCCAGGTTAAAGACTGTTCTGTTTGCCTGTGCATACAACTGAAGGATTTTATCTCCATTTTTAATGCACTGCTGTCATTTATTTATTTATTTAAATTTCTTGTGTAATTTTGAAAGTTTTAATGGTTTTATTCTTTTGTGTGATTTTAATGTTTTAATTGTGTTTTAATCTTTTGTGTGATTTTAATGTTTTAATTGTGATTCTGGTGTTTGTTTTATGTGATGATTTGTGATGTGGACTGTGAAGCGCTTTGTGTTGCCATGTGTATGAAAGGCGCTCTACAAATAAACTTTGATTGATTGATTGATTGATTGAATGTCTCCTCCCATGAGGTATATTTGTATTTCAAGATTAACCAAAAATGCATGCATTATCACCAACATTATCAGCTGGAACAGGTGAGAAAAATCGAGCAACAATTATTATAATTTTACAACTCATTAATGCATTACAAATATAATGACAAGGAATCTGAAATGTAAAGTCAGAAGGATTTATTGAGGATTTAGAAATCAGTTTGTCAACAGCTTTTAGAATCACAATCAAGTTTAAAATGTGCATGGACATTTTATTCTTTTAGAATAAAAGAAAAAAAAACACACAGCCCATTCACCAACGACAAGGTGGCAGATCATGAATGGGACTAAACCACCCACTAAACTAAAACTACAACTAAGTAAAACGTGTTCTACTTACCTTAATTACTATACCATAACTACAATACCATCTAAACTAGTAATACACTATATCTAAACTAACCCTGTTACTAGAAAAAAGCTCTAAGGAATAAACTAATCCTACACTAGAACTAAACTAAGCATGAACAAAGCAAAACCTAAAATGTAATTTAAACTAAAGCTACATCTAATGTAGTAACAAACTATACCCACATGTTGCACTAAACTAAGAGAAAGTCTGTAAAATGAAATGAAAAGTCATAATAAACAGTAGTCTGAGGGAAAGGGTGGGGGTCGTCAGAGGGAGAGAACATAGTCAGAGGAGACAGTCTTACCAGTCCTTTCAAATGTGACAAACACAACACAGAAAATCAGAGGTCCATCCTCAACAAGCAAATGTGATAAAAGTTATTCAAGTATAATAAAGGCTAAAAAAAATCCATGATTACAAATATAACTTAACTTTAAAATCAGGCAAATCCAGGCCTAGCAACAACAACAACCAGTAAAAAAAGTGCTATGAAAGTACTAATAAAAGACCCAACCACCACGTGGAAAGTTGAGCAAGTATGCTTAGAAACACATATAATCTCAAACAAAATTTCATATCTTCTAAAATTACTTTATCAATCAATTAATTGCTTCAGTTTTTCAGTTAGGAAAATAATTATTTCACAGTCGATCCTTCCCATTCTTGATTGCAGTGACATCATTTATCAAAACACTTCTGCCTCCATCCTCCAGCCTCTGAATGTCACATACAACAGCCTGTGTGGGTTCATTCTCCGCTGTCCCTTTAGGACCCACCACTGTCTGCTGTACGAGCAGTTATCGTGGCTCTCTCTGTCCTCCAAATGTCAGCTTCATTGGCTGCTGTTTATTTTTAAATGTATAAATTTAAGTTTTACGGACTATTTGAAACAATATTTGATTCCTCTGCGATCCACTTACAGTTTGCGTCACGCAAACCAATGTTTCTTTGTACTCCCAAGAGTTAAAGAAGTCGGTTAATGTATAACAGACATTATACTAACAACAATCAGAATGTGTGTGTGTGTCCTTTGTCTTTTGTGTCTGTATCTTTTTCATTTTTATTTTTTTTAAATGTATGTTGTATTGTTTGCTCTACTGTCTGCCTTACTGCATCTGTCATTTTGTACAATTTTGAGGACCCCCTCGAAAACGAGATGTTTCATCTCTAGGGGCTTATCCTCCAAACAAATAAATAAATAAAATAAATTATGGTAAAAAACATTATTATAATATTAAATAAGACATTATTAATACAATTCCCATTCAAAGTGATGTTATGGTTAAATAAGAAACAACTGTTCATTTCAATACAAAAAATAACTGCACTGCTTTAATGTAAACAAACTGTTCTTACGACTTTATTCTAAACGAACACACTATCCCTTCATGGTCGCTGAAGTATGTTGGCACCACAGTGGACTCTAGATCATATTCAGTGGATTTCAAATGATCAATTAAAGTCCCTCTCTCTGTAGTGGGAGATTTGACATTGAAGATAACCCCTTTCCGTCATGAACTTGCAGAGACTTGATGATTTAAATATGTCATCATTAAAATCTCCCATCACTGCCACAGTGGCACTAAACGAGTCAAGCCAGATTATCAAACGATTCAAGTTATACTTGAACAGAGACATGGGGTTTGACGGTGGTCGATAGACAATTGCAACAGTTAATTTGAACTCTGCAAAATGACTAACTAGACATTCTAAAACAGAAATCACGTTCTGTGATCTCATAGTTACAGTTGTCTTTACAGTACAGGCCAACACCACCGTGTTGTTGGGCGCTCAAACTAATGCAGGGTGGTTACTGCCCTGGTACGTAACACTACGGGGACGGCTGTTGAAGCTGTAACCATCAATGTGACTGGTTTGAGCCGGCAGCAGCTCTGTTTATGACAGCTACACAAAATTTCCGCCCGAGACTGCCGCAAAGTATCACTTGATTTGAGTTACTATGGTAACAAGGAGAATTTGAATATGGGTGACAAGTATACACTGTATATATATATATATATAAGTAATAGCTATATGTTTGGAATTGTTCAGTGACCTCGGTCAGTGGGACAGGAACTTTCATAAATGTCAAGTAAAGAGAGAGAGACATGTGTTTGTTTGACAGGAACAGGAACATTCATAAACATTCCTGTAAATGCACCAGAATTATTCACAAGACTATTTTCCCTCAACTGATGTTGAAAAGCTCCCTCCATACTGAGGTCTGCACACCTCTCTGTTTACAGATGTTTTGTGCAGAGACTTTCTCTAATCCTTCACAGATGTCTCCAAGTCCACATCAGTCATAATGAGAGGACGGACCTGGTTGGGACTTTAGTTTGGGACTTCTATTTTGAACAAATACAAAAAAAAAATAATGAAATTAAATCAATTTTTAAACATATACTTTATTGAAACATTATTTGATGAATATTCTCTTCTTCAGTTTTGAATATGAAAATGATTCCAAGCAACAGTTGCAAAAACATTGTATCTGTGTCTCATCTCATTTGTGTTGGAGTTGTGTTGCCTCTTTGTCTATAACATTTACATTTGAATAAAAACAAACTCATTTGGGTGAGGCATGTGTTCAGGTGTTTCCAGAGAATTCTCTGTAATACAAGTGTATCCAACACGCAGGGGGCAGAGAGAGCAGGCTTCAACAGACGAGTGATCTGCCTCCATAGTTCAGTCCTGGTTCAGTCCTGGTTCAGTCCTGGTTCAGTCTGGGTTTGCTCCTGGTTTTGTCCTGATACTGAAGACTTTTTTGGATGGTGAAGATGGATCAGACGTTGCTGCTCTCCGTGCTGCTGAGTGAGTTTTAGTTACTCTTCATTATATTCATCTACACCACATGTATCTTAGTGCTGTCAAATACTTTCTTGCGATTAATCACATTAATGTCATTTTTAACTTACGATTAATCACACATTTTTCCAACATTTTACTTGACTAGCGTATCTGTTTCCTAAGTCGGACACTTCGGGCTTAAAAAAGGCACCGGTTACCCACTTCAACGGGCTATAAAAACATAAACTTAACTATTTCGCGAACGTTACTAGCATAAAACAGAAGTTAAAAGTGTTAGCTTTCGAACGATATATATGAATAATACCTTATTTAAATTTGGTTTTCTATATGCTGTTGAAAAGACCAAAAACATCGATGTTTTGGCTAACCGGAACTAGTTCCTCAGTTCCAGAGTTTGTACAGATTCCACTCGAATAGATCCGTGGTTCCATCGCTCTCTCACGGCTCCGCGGCGCTGGCGCATAGGCTCCGAAATGACTATATTTCAACAGTTTTGCATTAACTTTGGGTAGTGCTGGTTAGCACAAAGATCTTGTCTTTAATAACAATTTTCCCCTGGTCATTTCGTTTTCAAATATATTTTTTTACACTCATAAAATGCCACAAGCACACTTGAATTGTTTTATAATTTTAGGATTATAAATGGCTTATATGTACTTATAAACATATTAATAAGCTGCTCATTTCACTATTCTCTAAATGATGTTGTTCTAGTTATATGCTTTTAAGCATTTAATAAGTAATTAGTAAGATACATTTATATATTTATAAATATATGAATAAGCTGCCTATTATCACTAATCATTGACTATTATCAATACCATGTTAATAGGCCACTAACAATATGCCTATAAAGATATTAATAAGCTGCTTATTAATAGGTAATAGTGGTAATAGGCCACTAAAAATATGCGTTAATAAACTGCTTATTACACTATTTTGCAGTACCCTAATCTAAAGCGAGGAGTACATATAAGCAATTTATAAGCATGATGCTAATGTCTATTAATACCTTATTAATACTTAACAAGCACACCTTAATATAAAGCATTACCAGAGTTTTTTATCCACATAACAAATACAAAATTGGTAATATTGCTTCACTAAAACTTACACACAAAGTAATACAAGATACATGTGTCAATATTATGTTTTCTTACATCACGAGCTGGAGCCTGTGCGCTACCAACCTTTCTGTCCATGTCTCCTCAATAATAATTGTTACAGAAAATGGGGCAATGCATTTTCGCTCATAAACAATCATTTGACGTTGAGAAAAATAAGTTCTATTAATATTGAAAATGATCAATTTAGATCCATCATTTCACATCAAATTTAACTTTACTTCTAGAAAGCGTCAGACTGTATTTTAAATCCGAATGGCCTGTGTAGTTGAAGCTAACATGACGTAATGCGGACTGAGGCTGTTCTGAAGATTTTCTAGAACTATTTTCAAACCAAAGCTAACAACAGACCGTCGCCTAAGCCGTCCGAGCGCGTAGTAGCATCAAAACTGCCTTTAAACGCGGATTACTCTATGAAATCTTAATATAAACAGACAAAACTTACCACGGAGGAAGATACACATGTGTAGAAAGTACCCACCAAACGTTAGCCGCGAGCGCTAAAGCTAACAGCGGCAGTAAGGACGAGTTCGACAAAAAGGTGGGAGTGTCCGACTCAGGATAATAGGCACCAGGAAGTGTCCGACTCAGGGTGCACTCCCGTTAAGTCTTACCTTCCAAACTGTCTCAATCCCATCATTTGAACTCCTGAAGATATGTTTAGTTTGTGTTTTCTCCCTGTAGGTCAGCTGTGTTTGTCAGTGTCTCTGGACCTTCAGTACCACTTTATAGATAAGAACATGTCGTGGTCTGAGGCTCAGAGTCACTGCAGAGAGTTCTACACAGACCTGGCCTCAGTGAACAACATGAAGGACCTGAAGAACCTGAAGGCTGCTGCAAACGGACGCACGGACGCCTGGATCGGACTTCATCAAACCAGTGACAAACTCACAGACAGGAAATGGCACTGGTCTCAGCCCACAGTCAGATACAAGGAAGGACACGATACATGGCAATCAGGGCAACCAAATGATGCTGGAGGACCTCAGAACTGTGTGGGGATATTCAGTAATGGCGAGTGGTATGATTATCAATGTTCACATGAAAACGTATGTTTTATCTGCTACAACGGTGAGGACACAGTTTTTACTTTAAACACACATAAAAAAAGCTTATTTATTTATGATCTTTATATTACTCTGTTATTGATTTTATTCATAAACAGTTTTTATAATTACTTGTAAAGTGCAAGATGGGCCACAGAATCCTTTTTCATATCTTTAAGGGTGGCTGAGTGGATAGCACTCTTGCTTTTCAGCAAGAAGGTCCTGGGTTCAAATCCTGGTCGGTACAGGGTATTTCCATGGATCTATTGGGTATTTCCAAGTCCCGTAGATCCAAGATGGCGCCCTATTCAAATGAATGGCTTGTGCTCAGTAGTGGATGTGACTTCACGGGGACCGGGAGATTAGCAGAACTCACCTACATGTATATTTGGGCATCATCTGGTCCTCCCGGTTCTGAGCCAAAGCAACATGCACACTAGGTGATATCCTCCAGCTGCGGTAGTCCTGACCAAGCTGAGCATCTACATCTGAAGATGGGTTCCCAGAAGCTGTTACTACGGCGACCACTGCTCCTGACGTGAGCCTTAGCGGCATCAGGATGGGTCAAATGCAGAGGATGAATTGCCCTACGGGGATTTCTAAAGTTTACCTTTACCTTGTTATTACAATATTTCCTTGTCATGATCTTATCCAAAATGTAATTTTTTTGCATTAGAAACATCAGAAATCAGAAAATGTTTAGTTTTAGCTTCTTGCAATTATTCCAGATTTCTGATTTTGAATTAAATAGTTTTAAAATATTATACTAGAGACATTTTTCATCATTAAAAACACAAATCCACTGCTGTAACTGAACTCATCTGCTTTTTATCAGCTCTGCAGATTTGAACAGGAAGACTTTGAACCTATTTCTATTTCAATAGTTTAAAAATAATAAAAACCCAACGACTGTAACATTTATCTCTGGACCTCAACATTTTCAGTCCTTAATAAAGATGAAGAAAATAATCTAGTCTTCTCTTGTTCCACAGAGTCCTCCAACACTACTGTCATGATCAATGATGCCAATAACAAAAGAACCTGGACAGAGGCTCAGCAGTTCTGCAGAACTCACCACACTGACCTGATGAGTGGACTGGACCAGCTCAAACTGTTACAGGAACAGAACTTTACGTATTCTTCATTCTGGTGTTGGTTCGGTCTGTTCCGGGACACCTGGAGCTGGTCCGACAGAAGCGACTCTTCTTTCAGAAACTGGAACTCAGACACATCGATAAATCCACAGACAAAGAAATGTGCAGCACTGGGAGCCGAGGGCCGATGTGAGAGCGACGAATGTGGACTAAAGAAAAGCTTCATCTGTGAAGGAGGTAAGAGAACAAGCAACAACAATTCAAGTCATGGCAGAAAGAACGTGTTTTACTTCACTTGATTTAAGTCGGTTTGAAAATACAACATGGATGATACTGTTTTATTCTTGGCATATTTCACAGACAAAATTTTATATTTTTCAGCTCCGAAGAATACTTGTGAAAATAAATCCCAAATAATTCAGCTCTGAAATACTGGAACAGGTTTGTGTAGTTAAGACTTTGAATATTTTCTGAAACGTGACAACATTAAAACAGGAGAATTCAGAATCATCTTCTTCCTTCAGTGAAACTATGAAGAGCCTTCTCATGATGTGAAAATGAAGGGAATAAACCCGTCACTATAGGGATGCACACATATGGACATTAGATGCAATAAAATACTGATATTTTCAAACCAAAATTCACATTTCCAACAGGACAATAACATTTACATTCACGTCACGTACATTTCTTTACATGGAGTAATGAACGTTCTCCATTTTCTTTAGCTGCAAAAACAGTTTGAAGCGAACAACCTGGGAGACGTCAAACTGACCTGGAAGAAAGACGAAAACCAACGCGTTTTCAATAAGAATAAGTCTTCCTCACAGAAAAAGGAACTTTAATTGTGTGGCGCGTTTGATTGAGCAGAGTGTAAGTCATGTTTCTCAGAGATGAACGCTCTAGAAGCAGTTTTTCATCACGTGTGAGTGTATTGTATGTATTTACTTGTGGGTGAGGGGTTTCTTGTTCATGGGATAAGGCCTAAAGAGCTGCTTTTACAACATCTCTGCACCTCCTGCTGATTCTTTGTCATATATTATATTCAGATCAATAGTGTGCGGTATCATTTGTTCCATTCACTTAATCGACCCCAAAAAAAAGTGTGATAATGTTGTTTTTATGATGATGTGTTTAATTGTGTGGTTAACTAAAAGGTTTTGTATTTGCACTTTTCTTTTAAAGTTAAATCTACTTCAATAATTTGTGTTTTTCTTGTTGTATGGTTATTTTATTATAGTTTGTAATGAACTTTGATTTCCTGAACGATGACTTTGCATTTTGATGTTTGCTATAACAAAATAAAGCTAATCTTTTGCCAGCTTGATCCACAATGCTTCATTTGTCCAACAGGGGGAGCTGTACACAGGTTAACTTAAACAGTAAAATTATATGTGGTAGGAGTAGTTCTTGTCCTGGTAAATCTAATTAAAAGTGTAAAATAATTAGGACAACATTATGATTGGTTATTTCCCTTACTGTTTATGATATAGGCTCATTATGGAACTATTTAAGGAAAGGCAAGGCAAGTTTTTTTGTATAGCACAATTCATACACAAGGCAACTCAAAGTGCTGAACAAAACAAGAAAGCATTAAAATCATAAATAATCACAGAACATTAAAAAGAAAGATAAAAATATAAAATCCCTCAGTTGTATGCACAGTTAAACAGAACTGTCTTTAACCTGGTTTTAAACATTGTCAGAGAGGAGGCCTGTCTCAATTCTTCAGGAAGATTGTTCCAGATTTTAGCAGCATGAATCTGAAAAGCAGCCTCCCCATGTTTAGTTCTGACTCTGGGCATTAACAGGAGTCCAGTCCCTGTGCTCCTCAGAGTCCGGGCTGGTTCATATGGTACTAACATGTCACTAATATATTTTGGTGCGAGGCCATGGAGAGACTTGTACACAAGCAGAGCTGTTTAAAGTCTATTCTCTGAGCCACAGGTTTTATGTCTTTTTAAGTGTCAGTTTTTTCCCCAGTGGCTGCATGAGTGGTCAGCATGGTCTCTACACTGTTAGCCCGGATTTCATTTCTACTCAAACAAGCAATTTCAACATACATAGATAATTTAAGTTTGATTGTAGAACTATCAAATTTAAGCCCAGTCTACTAATTCGAAGTAGAATATACTTACATTTGAAAGTAATGTCATGAATGACTAACTTTAAGTTAAGTGGCACGGAATTTTTAAGTTTTGGTCATGACCACGCCTCTAAAATTCCCTCTGCATTCAAGTAGTGTAGGAAGGTTCGGTTTTCCCGAGGTTATTTTTCAACTTTGTGGATGCTACAAAGAAGAAGTTTTATGTTTTAATACTCAAAACATTTAAAAAGACATGGTTATCCTTTTCCCCGTGAGATATTCACGTCATACAAACTATGCAGAAAACCCTTTTAAGCTTTTTTTTATCATGATTTTATCCCAGATTTGTTGTTGTATTCTACTAGTAACTCTACAAATACCTAAAATCACAAAAAAAATATTGACTTGCTATCAGGATTTATGCAAATAAATAACTCACTAATCTATTTCACTCTACATGGGCAAGATTTACTATCTATCAGTGTTCGTGTGATTTTTTTGTCAGTCGGAAATTAATGTACCCGATTATTCTGACACCACTTGAATGCAGCAACCTGAAGGCATGTTGCAGCACGTCACTTCTCCTGCGTATATTTTAAACGGTTCGCTGCTGTTGTGTCCGAGAGACATTTTACAACTTGTTAGTTCTTTTTACAGCGAGGAGTAGTTTGTAAGCAGTGAAAACAGCAGTTCCACTACCGCGGACCCTGTAGCTCATTTTGTCATTAAATAAGCCGTTGGCGCCGCGCTGCCCGGCCGGAGGACGTGTGCCTCGAGTGGAGTAGAAGACGAAGAAAGAGGGCGACAGGAGACTGAATCTGGTGAGTGACCGACCACCACTCTGTGGTGGCTTTTGATTTTAAGTTAGCACTAGCTCGACTGTTAGAGCAGTGAAAAAACGTTACCATTAGACTAAACTGACGTGCTAATGTTAAGACACATTTGGCTAGCACTGTTAGCATTTTAACGGACACACATAGCTTTAGTAGCTAGCGGTTTGTGAGCAGCTCCCGCTCAAACCTACATTTTGAATCTGCTCTTGAACCCCAACCTTCAGTGGTTGTGGCCGGTTGAAAAGGTTGCTTAAACAGACATTTGAAGCTACTGTTTTTCAGCATTGGGATTTTTGCTCTTGCCACGGTAACTGGATATTTTTTTTGTGTACTTTTTCACCTCTAGATAACTGCCATTAATTGTTAGTAAATCATCTGTAAAATGCTAACTGTATTCATGTGACCAGGCTGTGACATTGCAATGTGTATGTGACCCTCTTTACTTCCACCAGAGTAACATTACTTTTTAAGAAGTGAACGTCAAACAAAGTTTTATCACTATCCAGAATTAAGAGTCTCAAAATACAGATAGATTGTAGAGGCAAATCTAACATTACTTCCCCATCTCTTATGTTGTTTTTTCTTTTTTATTGTGTTGCAGGTCTCCAGAAGACATGTTGTGGAAGTGTAAGTACTGCCCTTTCATCTGTGAAAAGAGAGCACAGCTATTTAAGCACTATAGACTAAAACATGGGAGCTATGCAAGAACAGAACCATTTCCATGTTTACACCAGGAATGTCTGTGTACATTCAAATCACTCAATGCACTTACTGCTAATTTACACATCACGCGTTACAGCACGTACGCGTTATACGCGCAGCAGACGCGCGTAACTTTTTTCCATGTTAACCTATGATGATATTTACACTTCTAGCGTGATACGTGCGTATCGACGGACATGTGACGCGAAGCTGGCGCGGTCTTAATTTGAGCGATGGATTTCTACATTTTGTGCGAGGAGCAGCAGCACAGAGGTCTGTCTCTGCATGAGGAATCAGTATCTGCTGCTGATGTATTGTTATATAACTTCATTTTTATCGTAGTCGGTACAAAATCATTGTACACATGCTGTGTAGTAACGTAGTTATTCAAATAAGACAGGCTGACGATGAGTCTGGCTCAGAGCAAGGCAGCTCCGGGGGCGAGAGCCGGGGAGGCAGGAGAGCCGGGAGAGGCGAGCGAGAGCCGGGAGAGGCAGGGAGAGCCGGGAGAGGCGAGAGCGATGCGGTGAGAGGCGAGCTCGGGTTTGAGAACTCAGACTGGGCAGTGACATGCGGAAGTACCGCTGAAGCGAAACTCCTCGACGCAGCTCTGAGTAAATGACGGAACTCTGCAAACACTGCAGCCTCTCAGTCTGTGGTGACCCAGAACATGTTTGTTGAAGCCCTACAACAACGTATTTTGCTTTATATACAATAAGGCTCGCTGCTCATTGACAAATCCACCGCTGTCCTGATACAGGCAACAGAGAAGCTCCTCCCACCGGCGTCAGCGCGTCACTCGCGTCAAAAGCTTCAAGCACCAAAATGACAAAACTATCCCAGCGTCAGTTGAAGCGCGTCACAAGCTTTTTGAAGCTTCTGGTCTGAACGCGCCTTAAGAGTACACTTATCCCGCCTTCACTCCAGAACTTCAGAACAGCAACCAACTGTAGATGTACAAGTAAAGTTTTGTTGTCTGTCATGTGGGTTTGCTGAGTTTTGCACTGAAACTGACTACTTTAGTCACCTGCATAATGCACACTTAAAAGTCAACCATAAAGTCAGTTGCCCTTATACAGACTGTGACTTTGAAAGCAGTGTCTACTCCACGTTCAAAGCACACAAGAGTAAAGCACACAAGGAACACAGCTGGAAGAGGTTCAAGTCAGAAATCATTGGTTGTGATTATGAAAGTCATGATCAGGATGGTGCACAAGAGCAAATATCACAAGCTGATGACATGGCAGAGTTGGAAGGAGTTGGTGAAGAAGCTAGTGAGAATGATATTCGTGATTTAGGAAAGCAGCTAGAGCACAACTTAGCATCTCTTCTGTTAAAGATGCAAACAGTTATGCACATACCAGAGAGTTCTGTGCAAGAGGTATTACAGCAGCTTTGTGAAATCAATAAGCTGTCAGAGCCACTTCTGCATAACAAAGTGAGGGCTACACTAAATAATTACTTTGATAATGTGGATGATACAGTTGTGAGCGAAATTACCAGTGCTGTGTCAGAGTGTAACATGATGTCATTTTGTGCCAAAGATGGACCCTTAGGAACTGCTAAGAAGAGAGCAGCCTATGTACGCAAAGAGTTCCCACTGGTAAACCCCATTGAATATGTTGTGGAAAAAGGCAGAAAACCACTTGCATATGTCCCCATTGTTCCAATGCTCCAGAAGCTGCTTAACAAAACTGACGTGTTAGATAAAGCTTTGTCAGAAAAAGTCCATGTACTGCAGGAATACGCGTCTTATGCAGATGGGCAGTACTTTAATGAAAATTCTCTTCTTGCGAGCGATGAGTTCACAATTGCTCTTGGCCTTTACATTGATGACTTTGAAGTCGCCAATCCTCTAGGTACATCAAAGCTGAAACATAAAATGTGTGCCGTGTACTGGGTCATTGCAAACATACCTGCAAAATACAGGTCCACCCTCAACTCAATCCAGCTTGCTCTACTATGCAATACGTCTACAGTTAAAGAGTGTGGTTATGCAAAAGTTCTGCAACCTCTCATCTATGATCTAAAGATATTGGAGCAAAATGGTGTTTACATAGAGTCACTAGGTGCAAGTGTGAAGGGCACAGTCTTATATGTTGCCGCTGATAATCTTGGTGCTTACTCTCTTGCAGGATTCATGGAGAGCTTCACGGTCGACAAGTTCTGCAGATTCTGTCTAGCGAGCAGCAGAGACGCACAACAGCAAGAGGTTTGTTCTGGATTTTTTCAGCTCAGAGACAAAGACTCTCATGATAGGCAAGTGCAGGAGGTGAGAGAGGACACATCACTCAGTCAGATATATGGTGTGAAAAGAGCATGTCCATTAACTGAAAATCTCGAGCACTTTCATGTGGTCACCGGGTATCCTCCTGACATCTTGCATGATCTGTTTGAAGGCATTGTGCCAACTGAGTTGTCCCTGTGTCTTAAAAATCTGATAAGCAAGAGGTATTTCACGTTAGATACACTTAACCCTTTAAGCGCCAAAGTCGCAATATTGCGACAAGCAACATTGCTCACTTAAACAGGCTGTATGTAAAAATGTGGTGCAGAATCTTGTTAATACTTTTCACCAGGGGTTAGTGGACATGTGTGCCTGTAATATGAGCAGCATTTGTGGGTGTGGTTATATTGAAAGTTTTTGAGTAAATTGAGTTCGTAAAAACACCTGCGGCGCAGCAGCGCGGAGGCGAAGCAGCAGCGGTAGAGCTGAGAGGAGCGAGAGCAGAGCAGAGGGAGAGAGTGTTTTTTATTTTACTCACGAGGTCTTCAGTACCAGAGAAGTACTTGGTCTGGTACTGGCTCACTCAGATTCAGAGGAGGAAGACACGCAGGTGTCCAGTGAAGCAGACACAGACATTATTAGTGACGGGGAGACCGCGCGCCATATAGTCCACAATCAGCCCCAGTACAGCGGCTGCTTGTCCTCCGTGTGGCCGCGGTAGAAGCATTCTGTGAACGCCAAGCAGGGGCCGGGGTCGAGGCGAGGGTACAGGAGCATCATAACACCGGGCATGTGGGAGAAAGTAGCGGGGGTAAACATCCACGGGGAACACGGGAGACGCGGGAGAGCCGCGGGAATAAAACACATCGCTTTTCGCGTTCACTGCCTTTACCAACAGTGATGATGAGGATCAAGGCAGTTCTTGAGAGAAAATAATCCACAAAAGTGGATCAGAAGTGTTGAAGAGCCTGTTGTTTCTTGTTGAGACGATCTGACATGTTCTGAGCCCATTCATTTCATCTCTCTGTTTCTAAACCATAAATCCAGGAGCCTCATTTCCACCGAGAAAAATAGTATGCCCACCACTTCTTTGAAAGGGAAATATTGAAACCAAACTCCAGATTTCATGACTGTAAACTATAAAGAGAGCTGTCTTGATCACTGAAGGTCTATGAAAATAATACAATTCTGTATGGCCGCGAACCAGTGCTAAAACATTATCTATAATCTGGATCAGGGAATTTATTTCTATCCCAAATTCATTTCATACTAAAGATATTTCACACTGACTGTTTATAGTATTTCCTGATCTAAAAAAAACTCCCAAGCTACAGCTTTTTTTAAGTTTTTATACAATAATTAACATTTTCCAAAATGGCCGCCACCTTGATGACGTCACAATATGCAAATTAGATGACGAATCAACTTCCATCCCAAAGTTTGGTTCAAACTGAAGATATTTCTAATTTACAGTATGCCTTTATCTCAAACCATTTTAAAGTTATAGCCTTTTGAAATCTTGAAATCAAAATTGTATATTTTCTTGAAAAAACTCTGGTGCCTAAAGGGTTAATCAGTCCATCAGACACTTTGATTATACATTCACAGACAAAACAGATTGCCCTCAGATGATCGGAAAGGGATTTTCCACCAAAGGAAGCATTGGTGGAAATGGCCATGAGAACTGGTGTCTCATAAGGCTCCTCCCATTTCTCATTGGTCACTGTGTTCCTGAGGGTGATGACACTTGGGAAATTCTGATGCTTCTTAAAGACATAATCGAGCTGGCTGTGGCACCAAGGCATACTGAAGAGACACTGCATTTCATGGAATGTAAAATAACAGAACACAGACGGCTGCTGCAGTCAACTTTTCCAGGTTTTAAGTTAAAGCCAAAGCATCACTACCTGGAACACTATCCTTACCTTGTGAGGAAGTTTGGTCCCTTGTGCGATGTTTGGACATTGCGCTTCGAGGGGAAACATAAGTTCTTTAAAAAAGCAATTCGGAACGCTCAAAATTTCAAAAATGTTGCAATGACACTTGCTACAAAACACCAGAAAGCAGTCAGTTACCATCTTGACTGCAGCACATTTTTAAAACCATCGGTGGAAATGACAAGGGTTACCCCAGTTTTGCTTGCCTCTTTCCCTTTGAATGTTCAGAGAGTATTTGCTCGAGACATTGCAAAGGTAGAGTCTGTTCTGGATGTGTCATCTGTCTGCATAGATGGAATCATGTATCATCCAGGCATGATTCTCTCTTTTGGCTCATGCTCAGGTCTTTCTGAATTTGCCCAGATTGAAAAGATTGTTACAGCTAACACAGAAATCCTGTTCATCTGCCACAAAATGACCGCATGGTACTGTGAGCATTTGAGATCTTACCAACTTCACTCTGGTGATATCCCCGCCACATATGTGGTCAAGATATTGGAGCTGAATGATGTCCTCCCGTTATCAGCATACAGGGTCCAAGGAGAACTTATGGTAACACTGAAACGATATGTTATTTGCTAAATTATTGAGTATATCCTTTCTCCCCAGATGGCTATGCAAGAGAAATTCATCATGAGGGTTATTGTCTCAGAGGGAGACATCAGAAAGTCTACAATGACAACACGACCGGACACACTTGAAGAGTTGATTGGCTGGCTTAAAGGCACTCTCCAAGCAAATTACAACTTCGTCCTACAGTACCAAGACCCCGACTTTAACAATGAACTGTGTAACCTTGAAGATGTCTCAGACCTCCCAGATAAGCCAACCATTAAAATCATCCCTATGGTTGAATTGGTACCAGTCACTGAACCAGTTGAACGACCACTTGAACAATCTTCATTGAGTAGTGACACAATCAGCTTGGCAGACACCGAGATCTTGTCCGTCTCCTCTCTGGATAGAAGTGTGCCATGGCCAGAGGTGTTTGAAATTCCTAAATTTTCAGTTGATGTTGAGTACCGACTCCGTCAAGGTAACTTGTTATATCTCAGGGATGGAACCTATCTCAAAGTGACAAAAGAGCTAAAGCATGATATCCTTGAGAAATTGGCTGAGGTCATCTATGCATTTGATGCATACCCAACAAAGGATGATTTAGCGGCTGTTGCACAAGCTTTAGTAGAAACACACCCATGTCTTAAAGAAGCAGGGTCAACCTCTGGCTGTCTTGGATGGAAGAACAGTTTGAAGTTCAAGGTTGGAAATTACAGAGCCAAAATGTGCAAGCTGTCACTGTCAATAGTGGTAAACGTGGAAGATACTCTACAAATGGCGACCCTCCAAACAAGGACATCAAAAAGCCAAGGAAAGGAGAAATAAATTTCCTGCCTCAGTATCCAGAGGGGTTGGATGACCACAACCTGGAAGCAGCTCGCCAGGTTCTAGTCAATGAAATGATGAAAGCGAAGCCAAATGGGTCCCTTATTAAGAAAGAGATGGATAGGACCTTTGCTCTTCGGAGAAAAGAAGTTGTGACAGACAAGCCTGCAATTACCCAGATTGTACAGCGATGGCCAGCACTTTTCTCTGAGAGCCAGGTTTGTATGCCTGTTTTGAGTATTTACAAAAAGTGGTTAACACTGTGACCTAAATTGTGTTGTGTTGAGAGTCATAAATATCTTTCATTTGACCGTTGGGCTATGTTTTATATTTTCAGGTGTGTTGCGAGTTCACCCGTGTGGTGGGGAAAAATCTCAAAGAAAACTTCTTTGAGGCACTTGACCGTTTCTCACCAAACTTGATGGACCTCTTCAGGAAGAAGAAGGGCCTCAGTGGACAGATTTTAACTGACCTTTTACGTCAGACAAAGGTAGGCTGACTTGTCTACCTAAGCTGACTGCCTCTCTTGCCTCTCTATTCTTTCCTCTTTCTTCTCATCTCATTACTTTTCATTGCTCTCCCGTTTCCATTTCCTCCTCTTTTATCCTACTCTATATACTTTGCTCTTTTCTTGTTTTTATATCTACTCTTCTGTTCTTCTACCCACTCCTCTCTACTTTCTCTCCAGGAAGTTTGTAATGAATTAATTAAATTGTGGCGACTTTCTGGAATCTATTTAAGCATATACAGTGTGAGTGTACTTAGTTATGTCCACTATCTTCCAGACCACTGAGCCAACAGACATCAGGTGCCTTTGTCTTCGGGGACTGCCAGTCGTCTTGGGGGATGACCCCTCTGCGTTCTTCAAAACCTGCTCGGTAAGTAACTGAATTTGTTTTGAATATCTGCATTATTGATTCACAACATGACCATCTGATATGAATTTACTGTAAAAAATAAATTACTACTACTTACTCTAAATTACAAACAAATTAACATTGTACAAACATTTGAACTTTCACCTTTGTCTTTCTGTGAAATTGCCATCAGCTAGTGTGAGATGGGGCCACAGGGAGGGACCCCTCTGTTTATTTTGCTGAGGACTATAAAAAACCCTTACATAAATTCTTACTTTTTGAGATTAAAGGACAAAACTGGTCTTACATTTGTAACTGCAACAATGGGCTCTATCCATAGCTCCACTACTTCCTGAACTTAATCCTTTGTTTCCTGTCTTTACATTATTGGACAAACTGATAATAATCCAGGTGTGTCTGAGTAGTCACAATGGTCAGACACCTGGATTAATCAGTTTGTCCAATAATGTAAGACAGGAAACAAAGGAGCAGCATTAAGTTCAGGAAGTAGTGGATCTGTGCATAGAACCCATTGCATCTGTACTGGAAATTGTTTTTACACAACTTTTCAGCTTGACTGGGACTGACAAAGCTCGCCATCTCTGCTGAGCTACAAAACCATTTCAGCACACAGGTTTTCAAACGGCTCTTGTAATGCAAAGTTCAAATTATGGCAATTTAAAATTGGTGTTGTCCTCTCTCAATTTTTGTGGTCAACACAGCATTATTGACATTACAATGTCGTCTCTTTGTCCGTTTCTTTTTCTGTTAGGATGCAACTGACAAGGACTTGTACAGTGAAACTTCAGTGGGAATCCTCTGCATTGACGAACATCCTCAACTCAACCCATCCAGAGTGAGCATCGTCTTGGAAGGGAGTGTGGTAATGGAGGAGCTGGCCAACCTGCCACAGGCTTTCTGTGTCCTTTTTGGACTAATTTATGCCTTGCACTTGGACTACCCCAAGTGCATGAAAAGCACCTTCCACTTTATTCAACAGGTCATGCTAAACCTGGGCAGAGTTGAGCTGAAACCCAAAATTCTATCTTTGAAGAATCATCTATCTGTATAAAACAGGGTTCTGAATACGTATATCACTGCTCTGGATCTGAGTGCTTGGTTATTTGTAATGTTGCACTTTAAAAATACCATGTTTACTGTTGGCCCTGTTTGATATGCAAGTTTTTTATGCATTGCCACTGATTTTGCCATTTTCTTCAATGCTGATTGGTGTATAACTTGTGTTATTAGCGCTGATATAGTTTAATTCCTATTGCTACCTATGTTGTATAGCATTGACATTGATTTTTCCATTTTCTTCAATGCTGATTGGTGTATAACTTGTGTTATTAGCGCTGATATAGTTTAATTCCTATTGCTACCTATGTTGTATAGCATTGACATTGATTTTGTAGTTTGATGCCATCCTGATTCATTCAAGAGTCCTATTTGATTTTTTGATTGCAAACCTATTTTGTTTGATAACATGATAAAGACAAGTTTAATAAAACATGTTGACAAGAATGTACTTTTGTGATTTTGCTTTTTATTTTCTTAATTAATTTAATCTGTATGGGTTTCTTTTATTAAACAGATTTTATTTTACTCTTCAGATAGTGAAGTAATTGGGCAAAGGAATTTTTAAGGTAAATCAACTTGGAGGTTAGTGTATTCAGCTTAAAGTTATAAGTGGAATAAATATGTAAAGCAATTGATATTAGTAATGTTTTTAAGTTTAATCATCTTGGAGGTTAGTGCACTTGACTTAAAGTTTTCAGTGGAATAAAGGGGCAAAGTAATTAATATTACTAATGGTGTTGAGTGTATTGAACTCAAAATAAAGATGCCATCCACTCATCTTTTTAAGTTAAATTCACTCAAGTTTTCATCAGACACTACTTAATTTTTTTAGGGCAACCAGTTTCCTAAAATGTTTTAAGTAAACTCAACTTATCCGGGTTTACAGTGTACAATTCTATGGATCACTGGTTTGGAAGGTTTTCTCCCCTGCACCAGAAAACCTACCGAACAATCAACCCTGGAGCTCTGCAGACACAACCATGAACAAGCGTCAATGCTCCGTGATGCACACACAAAGTCTAATAATGCACTATTAGTAAAATGATTTGATATTTTGAAGTAGAATGTGTTCATTATTATCACTTATTATGGGACTTGCTTGAGTAACGTTTTTACAGTATTTTAACCAGAGCCCTGACTGCTAACATAAAGGATACAGGTGAATATTATTGGGCCTAATCTTCCTGTTCAGCATGGATTATGTAAGATTATTAAAACTGCATTTTCATTTCATTTCATTTGAGGTTTTTTAGGTTCATACAGGATTCAGTTGTTTGACTTAAATACATAGATATACTATATAGATATATTTCTTTTGATGAAGGAGTTTAAGACTGAGTCAGAATAGAGAAGATGGAGTGAGTCAGAATGAGGGATGTAGAAATATTAAACTTTTTCTTTTTCATGAATACATTTGATTTATTTATTTATTACAACAGTTACATTGGACAGACCAGATGCACTTCCATTAGTGTTAAAGCAAGACCATGCTAATTATCAACACTTATCCATTGGAGGCTTTTAGGACCTAAGTACATGCATGAATTTACAAATATGCAATTCATCAAATAATAATGAAACATGTGAAAAGATTTGCTCTGATTCCAGCCACAGTTGCAGACGTCTGCTGAAGATGTTGAAGTCAGTTTGCAGTTTGACTTCAGTGGGAAGAGTGTTCCACAGTGGCAGAAACACTCAGCAGACCAACTGTTGCACAGAAAGTGATCACGTGCAAAGATTGTTAGTTTGGTTTCACACAAAAAGTGAGTTTATGGAAGTGTGTGACTTTTTGCTCTACTTTCTGGAATGAGTCGTAAAACATCCTTGAAATTAGATTATATCGACTCAGGCCAATCTTATTTACTCAATTAAAGGTTTATAGGAGGATCTTCTACTTCCGGGTGGATACTCAAGACTATTGGCCCTCCCAATTGTCAATCATTCTGATGATATGTGCTCGTCAAATAAGACCACAGAGTTTAGCTCAAAAAGTGGAGAGGGCGGTTCTTTCCTAAAGTTTGGGAACATCCTCCTAATATACCTTCAAGTATGACCTTATACTTGTGCACTCTGGAACACAGCAATTCTCGTAGAACCACCTCAAAGGGAATTGTTCAGTGACCTCGGTCAGTGGGACAGGAACTTTCATAAATGTCAAGTAAAGAGAGAGAGACATGTGTTTGTTTGACAGGAACAGGAACATTCATAAACATTACTGTAAATGCACCAGAATTATTCACAAGACTATTTTCCCTCGACTGATGTTGAAAAGCTCCCTCCACACTGAGGTCTGCACACCTCTCTGTTTACAGATGTTTTGTGCAGAGACGTCCTCTAATTCGTCCTTCACAAATGTCTCCAAGTCCACATCATTCATTATGAGAGGACGGACCTGGTTGGGACTTCTCCTTTAAAAGAAGACACTTAGGACTTTACAGAAAGATCCCGGTTCTGGACTCCTGAAGGAAAAGAGGGGACGCCCCATATCTCCTGAGGACCACAATAGAAGCTGAAATGATGGAACAAAACCTCATCAACAAAAGGCTGAAGACCAACTGTAAACCCTGGCAAGTAAAGTATACTTGAAAAAACCTTGGAAATAAATTGCACATTAACTTCACTTGAATTCCTCGAGTACATTCTTAACCTGATGTTGCCAAGTGAATTCAGTTGATTGCAATAAAGTTTGACTGTGATTTCAGCTTATACATATCAGAAAAGTCCTGCTCTTGGGATTCGAATTCAGAAACGTCTTGCCGAGAAGCGATGGTGCTACTCACTCAGCCACCGCTGCTTTCAAGACACCTAACATTTAGAAAACTGTGCATGTTCAAAATATCAAAAGTGAGGCTTACTTGAACAGAGACAGCTCAATTCAAAGAAGGCCCTGTGTGATATCGCCAAGCTTTAAATAAACTAACAATAAACGAGTAATATTTACATACTGGGGAAAGTTCATTTAAAATAACTTTGATATCTGAAGTTAGATTGAACTTAGGGTTTACAGGCACGAAGAGACCTTTTACTGCTCCAGAGCAAACGAGCACTGGGCAATAAGTAAGAAAGTATTAGTTTGAGCAAATACTCAAAACAATAATGAATTCAATCAGTTTTTTTAAATATATACTTTCTTGAAACATTATTCAGTTTGTGATAAATATTCTCTTCTTCAGTTTTGATTACGAAAATGATTCCAAGCAACAGTTGCAAAAACATTGTATCTGTGTCTCATCTAATTTGTGTTGGAGTTGTGTTGCCTCTTTGTCTATAACATTTACATTTGAATAAAAACAAACTCATTTGGGTGAGACATGTGTTCAGGTGTTTCCAGAGAATTCTCTGTAATACAAGTGTATCCAACACGCAGGGGGCAGAGAGAGCAGGCTTCAATAGTAAGTAAGTAAGTAATGTTTATTTATATAGCGCATTTTACAGACCAAGGCCACCCAAAGCACTTTACAATGTTCAGAGTTCAGATATTGTTCCAATCATTCCACACTCGGTGATGACAGAAGACGAGTGATCTGCCTCACTAGTTTAGACTTGGTCCAGTCCTGGTTCAGACCTGGTTTAGTCCTTGTTCAGTCCTGCTTTAGTCTGCGTTTTCCTGCTTTTGCCCTGACACTGAAGACTTTTTTTTTTTCAGGTGAAGATTTGTCTACTCCACATGTATTTTAACATTTTACTGTAAACCTCATTCAGTTCTGATGTGAATGTAATTCCAACAATCCTGAAATATGAAAATTCACTTCAAACTAAAGGAAAATTATTTGCCAACGAACAAGACATTAATACTTAGATCAAGGAGAGCAAAAACCAATTGCACTAATTAAGGATAATTGAATGATTGATGAATAAATGTTATAATTGCTCAATCCACAGACAGAATAATGTATTTGAAAAAGTCTTATCTTCTAAACTGTCTCAATCCCATCATTTGAACTCCTGAAGATATGTTTAGTTTGTGTTTTCTCCCTGTAGGTCAGCTGTGTTGGTCAGTGTCTCTCGACCTTCAGTACCACTTTATAGATAAGAACATGTTGTGGTCTGAGGCTCAGAGTCACTGCAGAGAGTTCTACACAGACCTGGCCTCAGTGAACGACATGAAGGACCGGAAGAACCTGAAGGCTGCTGCAAACGGACGCCTGGATCGGACTTCATCAAACCAGTGACAAACGCACAGACAGGAAATGGCACTGGTCTCAGCCCACAGTCAGATACAAGGAAGGACATCAGCTATCAGGCTATCAGGGCAACCAAATAATTCTGGAGGACCTCAGAACTGTGTGGGAATATACAGTGATGGCCAGTGGTTTGATTATCAATGTTATGAAACACGCAGTTATTTTATCTGCTACAACGGTGAGGACACAGTTTTTAATCAGTGACATCAGCAGCTTTTTACCATCTAAAAAACATTGCCAGGATCAAAAACATAGTGTCTAAAAAAACTTGGAGATTCTTATCCATGCATTTGTCTCCAGTAGGTTAGACTACTGCAATGGCCTGCTCACAGGTCTGTCCAAACAGGCTGTAAAACAGCTGCAGTACATTCAAAATGCAGCAGCTCGAGTCCTGACTAGAACCAGGAAGTACGACCACATTAGTCCAGTCCTCAGGTCTCTGCACTGGCTTCCTGTGGCTCAGAGAATAGACTTTAAAACAGCTCTGCTTGAGTACAAGTCTCTCCATGGCCTCGCACCAAAATATATTAGTGACATGTTAGTACCATATGAACCAGCCCAGACTCTGAGGAGCACAGGGACTGGACTCCTGTTATTGCCCAGAGTCAGAACTAAACATGGGGGGGCTGCTTTTCAGATTCATGCTGCTAAAATCTGGAACAGTCTTCCGGAAGATGTGAGACAGGCCACCTCTCTGACAATGTTTAAAACCAGGTTAAAGACAGTTCTGTTTAGCTGTGCATACAACTGAGGGATTTTATATTTTTATCTTTCTTTTTAATGTTCTGTGATTATTTATGATTTTAATGCTTTCTTGTTTTGTTCAGCACTTTGAATTGCCTTGTGTATGAATTGTGCTATATAAATAAACTTGCCTTGCCTTGCCTTACTTTACATACACATTAAACAAAACAAGTGTATTTATTTATGACCTTTATATTACTGTGTGATTGATCTCATTTATGAATAGTTATAGATAGTTATTGCTTTCACAATGGTGAATGCAAATGGTGACGTGCCGGTTGAGTGCGTAAACTCAAACGCTTTAAAATGATGTATCACCTGCCATTGAAACCAATATTGTTTTTGCTCAAGAGACGTCGAAAAAAATTCCTTATTTTTATTTCACTTTCAATTGACCTAGACCCTAGAGTTGAACAATTGATTCAAGTTTTGTGCTAATCAGTCTTTGTATGTGTAAACGGGAGCAAATTTGATATTGTCCAAAACGGCCAAAAAAAGGTCACATTTTGCCGCTCCGCTGCTCGAACAACGTTTCACTGATCAAAAATCGCCAAAGTCATTTTCAAGGTACATGTGTTGAGATTATGTGGAGCGATTTTGAGGCGAATCGGTGAAACGACCGTCGCTTTCCAACCGACATGTATGAAAACTATTGCTGTTCTTTATTCCATTTTGCAGTGAAATATATGGGCTTCCTGTTTGTCAGAGAGCGGGGCCATGCCAACATTTTTTTCATGTCTCGACTTGAGGAACATGTGTACCGAATTTCATGGCTCTACGACAAACTTTACCTCCGAAAACTTAGGGCCGAGCCCAGAATGGGGAAATGGCCTATTGTTTTTGCTCAAAAGATGTCAAATTCTGACACGGGCGAGGGCCAATTGACGCCGCTTGCGGCTTTAATTTATTTTTTTCTTCTGCGTTTTGAGCCTTAATTTGACCCCCTGAAAATGCATGAAAAGTTGTTAAATTTAGCCCAAAAAACAGACCTGGCAAAAATTGGATATTTTGGTGTTTATTTTTATGGGACTCAAAAAATGCCAGAACAGCGTCCTCGGAGCTGAGTCCGATGATGGCAGAGTCGTCGGAGAACTTCTGTAGAACACAACCGTCCGTGCTGTGTCTGAAGTCCGCAGTGTAGAGGGTGAAGAGGAACGGTGCGAGGACAGTCCCCTGGGGGGCCCCCACACTGCAGGTCAGGACCTCAGACACGCAGTCCCTGGTTCTCCAAAACTGGGAGCAGTTCTCACATATAAGGAGCAGGATGACCACTGTCCAGAAATGTTAATAAATGTCCTTAAATGTCCCAGACCATCACTGTCCTCAGACCCTCCTGCATCAGAGGAACCACAGAAACCCACCTGTGACACTGACACAACACATTATTGGCCAACCTCATGCACGTGATGCACGTCTCCAAGATCATATTTAATGGGCACATGTATTACATTTTTGTACAAAACTGTGATATGTAGTATAGTCCACAATAGCATCATGATATGGTTTTGGTATTGAGCTAACTGTGAGCTCCTCAACCCCCTCCCTCCTGTTCCTGCTGCTGTGGGCGTGGCTGTGGGCGTGGCTGTTCCTGCTCCCTGTTCCTGTCCTGCACACCTGGCCCTCATCTCTAATCATCTCTGTGTTTAAGCCTGGGCATTTCCTCTGTCCTCTGTCAGGTGCTCAGTCTACATCGTGAGACAACACCTCAGGCCTTTTGCTAAGTTTTGGAAGCCCTCGTCTAATCTCATGTTTTGTGCTGATCTCAGAAACTTGTGCCAGTTGCACACTTTGCTCCAGCTCCGGCCCCGGCCCGGCCCACCCTACCAGCCCAACCTTCATTCCTGTTAATAAAGCCTGTTACAGGTTCGCATTTGTGTTCACTTCTTTGATCATTAACATATGTATTGCTTATATTATTTTGCTTATTAAGCCAATTTTGCTTAAAACCAGTCTACAACTAGAAAAAGAGCATAAAACAAGCAAATTTATCCTTAATCAATAATTTATTTAAGCATTATTTCCTAAAATTATCCAATAATAAGAATATTTTTCTTATATCTGACCTTTTTATTGGGAGAAAATTGCATAAATCAAGAAATATATTCTTGTTTTTTTTCCATTATACATTAGGAAAAAAATCTTAAAACAAGAATTCTAGGCAAGGAAAAAAGTAATATAAGCAGAATTGTTGTCTTTTGAGGTTTTTTTGTCTTGTTTCTTGCAAGGGACTTTTTGCAGTGTATTCCTTACAATTTCACAAACATTCTTTTACGGCTATGGGACCAAATCATGGCGCAGCGGCGCCACCTTTGCTAAGTGGTGCGGCGCGACTTGGTGCAGGGCGGCGTGGTAAGAGGCGCCGTGGTGCGGGGCGGCGCGGCGAGGGCCGTTTAACGCCGCTTGCGGCTTTAATTCATTTTGCTTTACATTTGCTGAAGTATCACATCTTGGAAAATATACACATTGATTTGGTCTAAATATCATACAAAACATTAACATTTCTTACCTCTTTTGAAGTCATCCCCGCAAATCTGTAAATTATCAGGACAGGACCATATCAGGTGTTTCTGTTCTGCTCCTCGTGCACGCGCCTCTTTCTGCTTTCTGCTGTTTCCAGCCGGACGAAAACAATGGTAAACGGTAGAGGTGCAACGGTTCATCACTGATCCGTGATCCGTTCGGTTCAACGTCTTCGGTTCGGTACAGACGTGATCCGCGGTTTGATTTATGAAAAAAAAGTTGTGCGCACGTTGTTCAGTCCACACACAGCGCGGTCATTGCGAGCGGAGGAACGGAGATACTTGAAAGCCCTGCGTCATTTAAATCCCCAGTATGAGAGCATTTTGGCTTCACTGTAACTACACTGATAATTAATATTTGACAAAACTATCACGATGTGTAAGCACTGTGGCACAAGAAAGACATGAGTTAAAAAAGCGTCTCAACGACCGCTTATTGTCGCGGCATTTAAGCAGCTCCTTTACGCACAGTCAGACCGGGCTAAAGTCAACTCTCCCGCGCATCCTCAGCTGCGCTCACGACTGACGCTTGGACGTCCCGCGGAACCTATAATAGATCCATGAGCGGAACCGCTCACTTCATCACTGCAGACTGGGAGATGAGAAGTCTGGCGCTGCAGACACGCCCCCTCTACGACAGTCACACAGTCACACAGTCACACAGCGCAGGTACTGACACAAGCAGCGGAGGAATGGAAGACAAAGGCCCAGTACTAATATCCCAGTCACAACTGATAATGCCAAAAATTAAATAAATGCAGTGAATGAGGCTGGGCCCAGAATGGAGCGCCTCCTCGGGAGAATCAGGAAGGTGGTTTAATATATGAGGGTAAATATCCTCATAAAGTGCCTTCTTATGTTGCACTTTGTGTTGTTTTTCATTAATTATGTTAAATAGACATAATTGGATGGATGGAATATGCCATCCATCCATCCATCCATTTCCTTCCCCTTAATTCATTTCTAGGTCAGGGGGGGCAGTCAGAGTAGGAGCCGAGTCCACATGAGCTGTGTTTATTAAAAAGACAAAACTATTTTTTTGAAAAATGAACCGAAAAATGAACCGAACCGTGGCCTCTGAACCGAGGTACGAACCGAACCGTGATTTTTTCAAACCGTTGCACCCCTAGTAAACGGGCCTTGGCGCACACTTCCGGTTGCGTTAAAACGAATCAAATCAAATCGGCATGTAAGCATTATTCAATATTTCACAGTGTGAAGAGAAGAGACGCATGGAGGGATAACATCTGCGGGAGCTTAAAACAACAATGATCAAAGAAGCAGGACATACTGTATACACAGCTGCGTCAGGACATGGCTAAAAGCTCATGTTTGCATTAGCGTTAGCCACAGTGCCCTATTTGCATCACGGTAAGAAAAACAGAACATTCGCTCACGCTACTGATAAAGTATTCTGCTGATTGTTTTGTGTGGATTCTGTGTGTGTGTTATTTAAGGCTTTTTCCTTGAATAAGTTTAGTTGAAACTTGTGACAGTAGTTGGACTTAGGGTAACCAGATTTTCAAAATGAAAAACTGGGACATTTTAATATAATAAAAAAATCATATTTGCGACAAACTAAGGAAAAATGTATTGCAGTCAAATGAGGTGATACAGCTAAAAAACAATTACTTCTTACTCCTGAAGAAACTTGTTGGCCATTAATTTGCTTATTGAAAACAATACTGGTTGGCTTAAATAAACTGTGGCTGCCAAAAAAATAAA